CACTATAATATTTATCGATATTCTAGCATAAATTTTGTTTTTTGTTTGTTTTGAAATGACATTTTATAGCTTTTTAAATGGATTCCATTTTTTTTGTTTCTTTTAATATTTTTGTTAGATTTTTATCAAAATTTTGGAAATATAAGAAATGGTAAACACTACGAGATATAGAAGATTTTTTTTTTTTTTTCAAAAACGTTTTTGTTAAATTTTTTTTTCTAAATTTTGGTTTTATAAAAAAATTTAAACGGTTTGGTTGACCATAAAATTAAGCATTAGACCATAATAATTTAGACCAGTTTGTTTTAAGTTTTTTTACACATCATCAATTAACAACCAATTAAAAATGACATGTAATTGCTTAATAGAGCTAAACGGTCTTTTTGCAGCCGAAACTTATTTTAGAGTTGACACGTCAGCGAAAAAGTTGTGAAACTCGCTGTGAGCGCAACACATCAGCAAATCACTATACAAATAGATAGTTTATGAAATTTTTTTTTTTTGGTATGCAACAGGGAGAAAGTTCTCCCCAAGTTTTATTCAAAAGTCATAAACTCAAATACAAACTCGTCTAGAAGTCCCAATTCCACAACCATCCTCCGAAACCAGAGGGGCAATACAATCCGGGACCAACTCTAGCGAATGAAAACCAAAGCGTAAAGAAAAAGCATAGTTAGCTAACCCATCAGCAAGACGGTTAGCTTCCCTATACACATGAACAATCCGGACAATCCAGTCCCTCGAGATAAAGCCATGGCGCAGTCATACCAGGAAAGACAGAGGGTGAGCCTCACTAATCCCTGTCGTTAGAAAACCCACCACCATCTTCGAATCCACCTCCAACTCTAGCCTCTGAACTCTCCTTTCCCAAGCAATGTACAACCCATAATACACCCCCCAAAGCTCTGCTACCGGGGCTGAACATATCCCAATATTAAGAGCAAAACCCGCTATCCATCTCCCCTGATCATCTCTCAAAACACCACCAGCTGCAGCTAAACCCGGATTACCTCTTGAAGCTCCATCCGTGTTCATTTTAAACCAACCTTCTTGCGGATGGGACCAAGCAATCACGCGCTCGACCCATTGTGTATCTGAAACCGTCAACCTCTGAACTCAGTTTGCATCCGAGACCTCCCTAGCCAAATCCTTGACAAATTGCACTCTGTCCCGGCATTTTCTATTACTGTCAAATACATTCCCACAACGCCATTTCTAAACCCACTACACCGCCATAGCAAATAATGTGGACCAGTTTAAACCGCCCAAGCTTGTATCCGAAGCCAAGTTTGCAAACAACCATTCAAGAAGCGAGCAGGAGAAGAACCAACGTCTCTTACTTCTCGGTACAAGCCTTTCCCATATACCTGACATCGCTGGACAATCTCGCAAAATGTGAATTATTGTCTCCTCTCCTCCTTTACAAACTTGACATATCGATGAGTCACTAATATGCCTTCGAAATCTCTCCGCACTAGACATAATCACTTGATTACTTGCTAGCCACAAGAATATTTTTACTCTCTCTAGAGCCACAACTTGCCAAACGCGTACCCAAAGAGCCTCCATATTCGGTAATGGTACATGATTTCGGGTCAACATCATGTACGCTGTTTTAACCAAAAACTCCCCATCTGAACTTTCTCCCCATGACAAACGGTCTTGAGCTCCCGTAATATAATCAACCACAACAGCTCCGAGTCGAAATTTGATTAATTCAGTCACCCACGGCACAATCCTGCTCTAATCCCAACCGAAACCATCTCTCCACAACTCACTAACTCCTTCATCAATCTTACTCTTCGGAATATTCCCATCTATCACCTCCAAAATCGACTTGTTCATTAGCCATTTATCTCTCCAGAATGCAACACTCCGTCCATTCCCCACCACCCACCTATGCCCCGGTACCAACACTTCACGGCAACCGATAACAATACTCCGCCATGTTGAGGACCACGTATTCTTGGGCACTAACCAGTCCGCCTCCTTTAACTTCCCCACTTTATATTTGCTTCTCAAAACACATGCCCATAAGCTAGATCGGTTGTGTGACAATCTCCAGCCCACCTTTGCAAGCATCGCCTTATTCATCTCTTGCGCTCTTTTTATACCAAGACCTCCCTCATACTTCGATTTACATACCCTATCCCACGCGATAAGATGTTGTTTTCGGGTCTCGCTCGTACTGCCCCAGAGAAAAGATCTCGAAACCTTATCCAGCTCATCCAATAGCACCTTAGGTAAAGCTATCACACTCATCGTATGAATTGGTATAGATTGTAACACAGCCTTCGTTAAAGTTAATCTCCCTGCAAAGCTCAGGCACCTCTCTTTCCATCCAGTTAACTTCGAAGATACCCTCTCCAAAACTTCCCCAAACGTCGCCTTATTCACTCTCTTCTGGAGAATCGGCATACCCAAGTACTTTCCCAATTCATCGTGGCTTTAATCCCACTCTCATCAGCCACCATTCGCTTCATATCTCGGGATACATTGTTAGAGAAAACAAATTTTGATTTCTCTAAACTCACCTTCTGACCCGACGCAACACAAAATTTCTCAAGCACCCTTCGTATCACTTTTATATGTGCTACCGACGCCTCTGCAAATAAAATAAGATCATCCGCAAAACAGATATGCGAAAGTGGAGGACCTCCACGTGATAACCGGATCGGTTTCCATTCTTTCCGAGTAATGGAAACGTCATTTATCTGGCATAGTAGTTCAAGGCATAGAACGAACAAGTATGGAGACAAAGGATCTCCCTGTTGTAATCCCTGGAGTGGCTTAAAAGAATCTGTTTTCTCCCCATTCCACAAGATATTCATCGAAGGCCCAGTGACACATCTCATAATCCAATTCACCCAGCTCTGTGAGAATCCCGCTGCCTCAAGAGTATCTTCCAGAAAATCCCATCGTATCCTATCATACGCCTTCTACAAGTCTAGCTTCAATAACATCCAACCTCTGCGACCCTTCTTTCGTTTCATAGAATGCACAGATTCCTGCACTATGACAATATTGTCTATACTAAGCCGTCCTGGTATAAAGCTCGACTGTGCTGGCCCGATCAACTTAGAAATCACCGAATTTAACCTCATTACCATCACTTTGGTGATCATCTTAAACACGACATTGCAGAGACTAATAGGCCGGAATTGAGTGATTTTTTCCGGTTTAGCCACTTTCGCAATCAATACTACCAGAGCATCATTCAAACCCAGAGGCAGCTCACCCGTCACGAAAAAAATCAACACGAAGCTAGTAACCGATTCTCCCACTACATCCCAGCACTTGTGGTAAAAGACCGGTTGGTATCCATCTGGCCCCGGTGCTTTATATGCTCTCATACTTCGACTAGCAGCCTCCACCTCACTCGGCAACACCGGTTTATTCAACAATTTCTTCTCCTCATTTGACAGCTTCTGAAAACCATCCCGTGACAGCCCCTCTACAACGGGATCAACATCATCTAAAGAGTATAATCTCTTGTAATAATCGATCGCTAGCCCTTCTAACTCTTGCGGATCCGTGAGCCAAGTGCCATTGTCATTCTTTAACATCTCTATCCAATTCCTCCTCCTTCGGATTATAGTTGAGGTGTGGAAAAACTTGTGTTCCGATCTCCTAACACAATCCAATTCTCACGAGATTTCTGGAACCAAAGTGTTTTTTCTTGTTCAAGGACCATATCGAGCTCTTTGATCAGTCCCTCCTCCTCCATTAACAGCGCATCCGATTGAGTGTGCTCAAGAGTATCCTGTACCACCTTATTTTCGTTAACAACATCTCCTTTTTCTTATGCACATCTCCAAAAACATCTTTGTTCCATCTTCGCAAAGCCTCTTGTAAATAAGCAAGAGCATTCGGTGTGTCCATGTCCCTTCTCCACGAAGCTTTCACCAAATCCTTGAAACTCGGATGAGTTAACCATGCTGCCTCAAACCGAAAAGGTCTCCGACTCCTATCTCTACTCACCACCAGGCTCAATTGGACATAGAGAGGCGCATGATCTGAAGCCAGAAACGGTAAATGGGTCACTTTAGCATCCTGCCATTTGAGTCTCGCTTGCGCACAACACAACACTCTATCCAATCTCTTTGCAACATAATTCTGCGTCACCTTCCCCCTCCTCCACGTAAATTTGTTTCCACGAAACCCCATATCGATAAGTGATTCTCCATTAATCCAATCACCAAACGACAATGAATCCACCGATAATCTCCCATTACCACCAGACATCTCATCCAACCGAACTATCGTGTTAAAATCACCCCCGATTAACACCGGTCCATCGACCCCCTGTAACGAATCATGAAGCTGGTTCCAAAGACCACTTCTCCTACTCACAGTTGGCGCAGCATACACTGCTATAACGTGTAGAATCTCATCTCCATTCTCCACACGAATATGGATGAATTGATCAGAAGATCGAATGATTCTCACACTTCCAATACCTTCTCTCCACAACAACCAAATACCTCCACTCTGTCCAATGACATCCACACGAAAGGAGTCCTCAAACCCCAATCCACGACAAATTCTACTCGCATTCTCTCCTCCCACATGCGTCTCAAACAGTGCCAACATATCCGTTTCAAATTTCTTTAACAAATACCGGATTGATCTCCTAAAGTTGGGTTTATTCGCCCCCCGGCAATTCCAGAATATACAATTCATGATTAACATCTCTTTCCAAATGAGAATCACCGGGGTAACCCGTTATTTACTGACATTCACCTTTCCTCCATCAGACGAAACATCAATCATCTCCGTTTCAATCCTCTTTGGGTTCACTTCGGTCCCAAGACTGATTATCTCACCTCCCTCTTCACCTACGGGGTTTCACACCCACATCCTCTAACCGGTTTCTTCCTCTGGCCGAGAAGACTCCTCCCGGTCTCCCCGCATTTTCCCAGCTCCACTCTTAGGCTTTTACCACTTGATGGTAGAGTCATCTCCTCCGAGCTCGACCCGAACACCACCCCTGTCCAACTTTACTTCCCCGACTCTGTTGCCTCTGCACATACCCAGCTTCCTCTGTTTTGTTGGGCTTTTTTCTCAATGGGCCCAACTCTTTGAGCCCCTTTACCTTTGCCCAAAAACGACCCATTCCTCTCTTCTCGGTTATGTGTCTGTCCCGCCTCCTTTTGGACATTAAATCGAATAACTGCATTTTCCTTATTTGCTGCAGAGCAAATATTCTTTTCCCTCTCCTTCGGCTCAATAATATCGGCAACTTCTAGCTCACCAAACTTATTAGAGATTGTAATATTCACCAAATGTTTTTGAGGAATCTCCCGTAAATTTCTCTCCCTTTCCTTATCCACTCTCCCTGCCACGACCGTACCCAGTTTCTGCACCGGTCCAGTCTTCCTGCTACCCCTGCTCACCTTCGTGAACTCCACATCCGACTTATGTCCCACATTCCCATTCAAAACTGCATTACTTGGCACACAAGCAAGAGCATCCTCCTCCACTGGTCTTCTCGGGCATGAATGAATTGCATGCCCGTACAGCCCGCAACCCGCACAAATGTTTGTTAGCCCTTCATAGGCAACAAAGTACCTCTCCCCATTAACCCTGACAGAGCCCTTCAATGGCTTGTTCAAGTCCACTTCCACACATACCCTAGCAAAACGAGCCCTTTCAAAATTCAGTGTAGTAATGTCCACTTTAATTGGCTTCCCGACTCCTTGCGCTATTCCCATCAGGATCTCTCTATGATAAAAATTCACCAGGATGTTAGACAATCTAATCCAAACCGGTGTTGTGATAATATCATTCTGCATCGGATCAAAGTCCGGTGCCTATGCCTTCACCATTAGATAGCTACCAAAAATCCTCCATGGACCCCCAGTCAACGCCGCCAAGTACTCATCTTCCTTTTCGAATCGAACCATAAAAAACTTTCGTGGGAGATCCATTACGTGCATATCTCCTTACGGTCTCCACATCTCTTTGAGTCTCCTTGTCAACATTGTGATCGGTACATCCCTTCCGAGAACTTTCACCACTATACACTGCTTCCAAAGTCCATTCATAGCATCCAAAACCTCCTGCCCTATAGTAATGACCGCCTCTCCATCCTCTCCATCCGGAAACTCAAGATTCAGTCTTGCCCTCACAAACTCCGCATCTACCACTTTCTCCGGTGATAACCTACCACCCACATTCTGCCCTGCCACCTTATTTGCCCATGTCATCCCTACATCCGGAGGATCACCCGGCGACCTCCCCCGATCTCCCACATCCGCCATCGCCGTATCTTGCACATCCGAAATCCTAATCGCCTCACTCATCACCTTGTGACTTGGTACACTCCAGATAGTTTATGATATGATTAAACTTGTTTGCTAATTGATTGAATTAAATGATATATAGACATGATATAAATATGTTAAACTATTATCTTTTTTATTATTGCATGAACTTGATAGAGCTGAATCGATTTGCTCTTAAAGAAGAAACTCTCCCCATTTTTCGTTTCATTCGTATTAAACAGTTTTTTTTTCCCTATCTAGACAAGAAAGTAAAACCAAACATAGTTTCGGAACATATGTTCAAACTTTAGATAACAATTCCAAGTTCTTTTTCAGTTACGTAAGAAAAAATCAAAGCCTTTGGACAGAAAGAGAAGAAAGACACCAAAGTCATAACCGAAAGAGATCAATGATCAAAATGCTGCTTTCATATGATCAGCAAAATCAGCGAACACATCAGAAAGAGAAAAGAGAAAACAAGTAGTGCTCTTAACCTCAAAGAGGTTAATTCAAAGTGTCTTTTTATAACAAAGTTCTTTATTCGAAAACAAAGCTCTTACAATCTCCCACTGATTAAACCGGTTTGATAAAAACCGGTCCATCTAAGAGAGGCATGAGTAAGCAAGGTCCTTCTCTTCCTTCAACTCCTCGGCTGTCAAATCCATCTTCTTCCTCGATACTTCATCAATCGGTAAACCTGTGAACAACAACAAAAACACACATCAGAACATTCTACAGAACATCATTTTATTTCACTTTGGTTAAGTTTTGGTTTCAAGAAAATCATTTTTACCTTGTACAATAGACCACTCTCCGTTACGGCAGGTTACAGGGAAAGAGTAGATTAGTCCAGATGGAACGTTGTATGATCCATCTGAGTATACTCCCATTGAAACAAATGTGCCCTGAGATTTTGAATCAAAGAACCTGTTTAGTTGTTTAGTACATAAACAATGAACTGATTCGAAATCAAGTAAGTAGAATGTCGAACCTCGGGGGTTCCAAGGACCCAATCACGGATATGGTCACAAGCTGAGCTAGCTGCAGAGAGTGCACTAGAAAGCTTCCTGGCCTTGATAATGGCAGCTCCACGTTGTTGAACGGTAGAGATGAACTCTCCATTCAACCTACAAACATAAGTCAACCAAAATTTAGGATCGCATAGACGAAGGTTAGGCAGAGAATATCAAAGGGGTTTTAAAAGGTTTGTATACCACTCGTCGTTCTTGACTAGCTCACGCACAGGCTTTTCTCCAGAAGAAGTTTTGACTGTAGCGTGGTTGACATCTGGGTATTGGGTAGATGAGTGGTTTCCCCAGATAATCACGTTCTTAACATCAGAAACTGGCACGCTTAGCCTCTCAGAGACCTGTCCCAATGCCCTGTTGTGGTCAAGCCTGGTCAAGCAAGTGATGTTCTTCTCCGGGATTGAAGGTGCAAATTCCTTAAGGATCAATGCGTTGGTGTTTGCAGGGTTTGCAACAACCAGAACCTACAAAACGCAGGTTAACTTTAGATTACATACACAGAATTATCTCAGCAAAAAAAGATTTGAAAGATTCATCACCTTGCAGTTTGGTGCGGCATGCTTCTCCAAGGCAGCAGCCTGAGACTTGTAAATGGAAACGTTCTTGGACATGACATCTTTCCTCTCCATTCCTTCTTTCCTCGGGAAACCACCAACCATGACAGCAACATTGACACCAGTACACCCTTCAACGGCATCAGTTGTAGCAACCACACCTGTCACGGGGAACAAAGCCAACATCACATTCCAGACTCGAGGAACAAAACCATATTCGATCAAATCAGTGCAAACATTTACAATTACACAGAACTTCTTAAAAAATTGAACTTTACCTTTAAGAAGAGGGAAAGCAGCATCGACCAACTCCATTTTCACACCGTTCAATGCTTCTGCTGCAGGAGGGATATCAAGCATGTGGAGGATCACAGGCTGGTCCGCACCAAGCATTATTCCCCTCGCAATCATAGGAACAAGAGCATATCCGATTTGTCCTGCCAAATAGTCGAAACACAGTTAGAAATGATCTCTACAGAAAACTACATACCAAACGCTAAAACTAAGGTTGCAAAATCAGAAGAAAACCAAAGCTGCTTTAACCCAAAATGACAAAAATCCATCAGAAAATCACATAATGCTTCATATGATTCATCGAAAGTGACAATTTATTCCAGAAAATCTTAGATCTCACATGTATCAGGATTCACACAAACGACACTGGAGCGAGAACTATACTTTTATTGTATCGAAACAGAGATCCGATACAGATCTCACTCTAGAACACAAAAATACTAGACTATAAACTATGATTAGCAATCAATTCGTGGTTTCATAAAGATCTGACGATACTAATCAATAACTTTTGCGTTCTCTAAGCGAAGATCCAATACAAGAATATAGAAGACACTAGATCGGAGGAATATGAAGTTTACCTGCAGCTCCAGTGACGAGAACACGAACTGGATCCTTTGCCATCTGATCGGATCGAGAAATATCGCCGGCGAAAAAAACTAAAAGGGATCGTGATTTATCAGTTTAACAGAGAAAGAGAGCTTGAAAGGCATGAAGCTGGTCTGTAGTATATTTATTGGTTATGACGAGCTCAGATCCATGGTGTGATGCCACGTCATCTAAATAAAGTCGGATTATCTCGAACGTGGAGATTACGGCTATCGTATAATGCTATAATGGGCCGAGTTTCCATAAATGAAGCCCAAATATTTAAGCGCATATGTATAGTGTTTAGAGGCCCTTGTCCATGCTCAATGTTTAATACGGAGTAATTAATATATTATTTTATCATTTATTTTAATTAATAGTTTAGACGTTTTTTTGTTAAGTGCTGTCTGAATATTTAAACCAAAATCGTAGCTGTCTTTGTAGAAAATGGATGTCATTATATGTTTGACACTGTTCTTGAAGAAAAGGTCTAAACTAGATTAGATTGATGACATAATTCTTGGAGAATTTGAGAAATTCGAAGAAGTAATATTTCTATATTATGAATTTGCGATTGTGATAGAAAAAAGAAAAAGAATGGGAAACTGTATGTGGTAAAAAAAAACCTTTTTTTCTTTGGAAAGAAAACTAGAAAAAAATGATATTGCGGGTAAAAATCAAATAAGCAGAAATTTAACAATTTAAATAGCTAATATAGATATGCTAGAGAACATTTTTGTTTAATTTGTTTTTTAGATGCTACCAGAACATCCAAATCAAATCCAACTACTAATGTTACAAATAAAAAGCAATAACTGTTGTTATTATCATATGGTTTTATATCGTGACGTTACTCGTATTGAATAATAATTTCATAAACGAAGAATAAAGCAAGTTTTGGGAGGAAAAAAACAAATAGTTAAGCTTGTTAAGCAAAAAAACACAAACGTTAACAAATTAGGGATAAGGAAAGAAAATCTCTGAAGGCCGTCTCATCAGATTTCTTTCTCCATTTTTTCTTTTAACGTTTGGTTTCGTCTCTAATTCGTTATCTTCCCTAGAAAAATCAGATTTTTTTTCCCTGAATCAAAGTTGTCTCGTAGAAGCTCTTAATAGATCAGACGATAATCGAAGCCGAACACCCATTTTTTCTTTTTCTTCCGATTCATCTCTCCGCGACCTGATCTGAAGCTTTTGTCAGAAAATAGTCAGAATTTTTCGATGACGATGGTGGTCAATGGGTGATTTTGTAGTCTCGTGTTTATAGAAGAAGCTTAGCTCAATCAATTAGATTACTTGGTAATCGATTTGGGTCAAACACTTTTGATCGATTTAGCGATTGGAGCGTGGATTTGGTTTGAATTTGAGGGATTCATACTGGAAATTTCCTACTTGGTGAGAAAAAAAATTGATTTTGTGGTTTTGTCGTTGAAAAATTCGATCTATTCGATTAGAGATCTGGGTCAACTTGGGTTTTCTCGGTATTAGAGTTTTAAGAGATCTTATCAGCTTTTGGGGTTTAATTTGAGGTGAATTAGAATAAAAACAGATCGAAGAAAGAAGAAAACTTTTTGGTTGGAATTGTTAAAACCATGGATCGTGTGGTTGGTGGCAAGTATAAGCTGGGACGTAAACTCGGAAGTGGATCATTTGGTGAACTTTTTCTAGGTATTGAAAAGTTTCTCTTCTTGTTTATGTCTTTTGGTAAATTCAAGTTTTTCTTTTAGTTGACTTGTTATTTGTTTCCAGGGGTCAATGTGCAAACTGGAGAAGAAGTGGCTGTGAAGCTTGTAAGTCACAATGTTCACTTAACCATTTTCAAACTAATTTGATCACTATTAATTTTATTTGCATGATTAAGATTTAGCATTTGACTTCTTATTGTATGTAGGAACCTGCCAGGGCTAGGCATCCTCAACTTCATTATGAGTCAAAGCTCTATATGCTGCTCCAAGGAGGAAGTAAGTTTTGATCTTGAGTGTACAATTCTCCAGTTTTAAACTTTTGTCTATATCCTTGTTTTGCTCTTAGAGTGTTCATTCGTCTATTTAAAACCATCTTCTATTATGTCCATGTTTTTTTCATCTTTATACTTGTTTTCTTGAAGCTGGTATTCCTCACCTAAAATGGTATGGGGTCGAGGGTGAATACAACTGCATGGTGATTGATCTTCTGGGACCTAGCATGGAGGATTTGTTCAATTATTGTAGCCGGAGGTTCAATCTAAAGACAGTTCTAATGCTCGCTGATCAGATGGTATGAATCATTCTCTTCCGTTGTGTGCTGATATTTTTGAGCTATTACATTGCTTTACTTGATTGTATTTTTATTTCTGTAGATAAATAGAGTCGAGTATATGCATGTCCGGGGATTTCTTCATCGTGATATCAAGCCAGATAACTTTTTAATGGGTCTTGGACGCAAAGCAAACCAGGTGAGTAGTTATGGTACGCAACCTTATTTGTGTGAAAATTTTCATCAAGTAATACAGTAATATGTTTTGTATCAATTCTCTGATATGTCCCTCTTTGTTCTTATTTAGGTGTACATCATTGACTACGGGCTTGCGAAAAAGTACCGAGATCTTCAAACTCATAGGCACATTCCCTACAGGTACATATTATGCTTTTGTCTTGTTGAAAGAAGTGTTAAGGGAATATTGCTAATCAAGAGTTACTTTATAGGGAAAACAAGAATCTTACTGGAACAGCTCGATATGCAAGTGTTAACACTCATCTTGGAATTGGTGAGTGTTGTTTGCTTTTCCTTTCTCTTTTATCCCGTCATTTTTGTGTGCACCTGACATTCTATACTTCCATCAAATTTCAAATTCTAAATTGAGATTCTCTTACGCAGAGCAAAGTAGGAGGGACGATCTGGAATCTCTTGGCTATGTGCTTATGTATTTTCTTCGGGGAAGGTATATATATACTTATACATCCTTACTTTAATTTGCTTCCATTTATTTAATTTTCCTTCTTACACTCAATTCCCTTGCTATAGTCTGCCTTGGCAAGGCCTTCGTGCAGGTACCAAAAAGCAGAAATATGACAAGATCAGCGAAAAGAAAAGGCTTACACCCGTAGAGGTAATAGCTCCTAATCCGTTTACAATCATTAGTATTGAGAAACCTGTATGGAATTTGCCAAGGTTCTTGTCTTAAAGCTAGCAGAAGAATCTTATATTTTACCAAAATGATGCATTCATAGATGCAATTTAAATATCCAATGGCAGGTTCTCTGTAAATCCTTTCCACCTGAGTTCACATCATACTTTCTATATGTACGTTCATTGCGGTTTGAAGACAAACCAGACTATCCTTACCTGAAGAGGCTTTTCAGAGATCTCTTTATTCGAGAAGGTTGGGAAAACTCTTGATTTTGCTTATTTTGGAATTGCATGTAGCTTATGCTTGAAGATTTTTACATAAAAAAAAAAAACTCAAAACTGTGTTTTTTTAATGTTATATATTTGCAGGTTATCAGTTTGACTATGTTTTTGATTGGACAATCTTGAAGTATCCACAGTTCGGTTCCAGCTCTAACTCCAGCTCCAAACCAAGAGTAAGTATCATCTATATTTTGAGTTTTCCATCATTTTAAATCTTCTAAAGCATCTTATCAAGATATTCACTATTGTCTCTGTGTTCCAACAGTCAAGCCTTAGACCAGCTCTGAATCCTCCAGTGCCATCCGCTGAGAGACCAGAGAAACCTTCAGGTAAGTCTTAAACTGTATTACCTGCATCTACACTAACTTTTACCCTCTTATTGTTATTTGTTCCTCCATCTGCAACCAATGAATCTTGTCTACAATTTCATAGAGTAGAACAATAATTCCAGATTTTTCCTGGTTTTATAGTTAGTTAAATCATACGCCTAGTGATTCAATTTTAGTCTTGATTGAGTACTGTTGTTACAAAACAAATCCTATGGTTGAAGACATTGTTTGTTGCTGCACATTTTCTTCTCATAGTTTGGTGTTTGCACAAAATCCAGACCTAATAAACCAAACTTGTGTCTGCATTTGTCTTCCCGTATACAGCTGGACAAGAGAGCCGAGATAGATTCTCTGGTGCTTTAGAGGCATATGCTAGAAGAAATGGCTCAGGAAGCGGTGCGGTTCAAGCTGATCGATCTAGACCAAGAACCTCAGAGAATGTATTAGCATCATCAAAGGACACAACACCAGTGAGTCATCTAAAACAACAAAAATCTTTTTTTATGCTCTTGAAATTTTCTTCAGACAATAGAATCGTTCTTGATTGAAACTAGCAGAACTACGAGAGAGTGGAAAGACCAATCTCTTCAACAAGACACGCGAGTTCTTCAAGAAAAGCCATTGTCTCGAGCGTTCGAGCTACTTCTTCAGCTGATTTCACAGAGAACCGCTCGAGCAGAGTTGTCCCAAGCAATGGACGTTCCTCAACCGCTCAACGTACTCAGCTTGTTCCTGACCCGACCACTAGACCATCGTCTTCTTCTTTTGCCCGAGCTGCACCATCGAGGACTGCTCGTGACATCACGCTTCAGAGCTTTGAGCTACTCACCATAGGGAATGGGAAGAGGAAGTGAGAGGCTTTATGATGAGTGAGTGGAGGAAACTGTGACTTTTTTTTATGGATACTTGGTTTTTATTTTTGCAAAATTATCGGTTTCCTAATTTTAAGGAATAAAACGAACATCATTTGATTAAAAATTATATGTGATAAATATATGGTCTTAAAGTTTTAACTCATTAAGCTCTTCACTAAATCCCATGTGCTTAACTTGTAATAATTTAAATGTCTTCTTTATTTACTAAGCAAAAACCTTGTTTTTAGCCTGTTTACTTTTTCTTTTGTTAAACTTGAGCCTGAGTACACACAGTTGAAGAACAAATGGCCTTTGTTTCCATTGGATATTGAGATAGAACACACGATACATCAATACAGTAGAATCTCTATAAATTAATACTCGATAAATTAATAATCACAATAAATTAATAAATTTTGCTGGTCCCAAGTCGGACCAATTTAAAAATTCATCAAATTCGATAAGATAATAAGATAATATTCTTTTTAAAATTCTTATGTAAATACATGGTCCCAATAAAAATATAAATTAATAATTATAAAAATTTATGCAAATATATGTAAATTTAATATTCTAAAATATGACTAATGTGTTTGTTTTTAGTTAAAGTTGAAATCTCATTAGTTCTCATCTTTCTACTTATTATATCAGTAGCTCTTATTACTGTTTTACTATATACAGTAAAACCTCTATAAATTAATAATATTGGGATCATGATATTTTATTAATTTATCGTGATATTAATTTATCTATAAATTAATAATTATTAATTTAGAGATAAAAATTGCTTTCCGCATATAATTTTCTAAAAATTTATTTGAAATAATGTTATATTTTAAAATTTTAACAAATTTCATAATATATATTATCATTAAAAATCATAACTATCACAATAAAATAATTTTTTACCATATTGGATTGTCCATATAAAAATATACATGTTCATAAGTTGAAAATATATAAAAAAATTATTGCTATTATCAATATTATTGATGATAAAATTGAAGATAACACTACAATGCATTTAAAAATATTTACATGTAAGAAAATCAATTATCACATAAAAAAATCATCATAAATTTTTACTGATAATATATATTATGAGATTTGTTAAAATTTTAAAATATAACATTATTTCAAATAAATATTTAGAAAATTATATGCAGAAAGCAATGTTTATCTCTAAATTAATAATTATTAATTTATAGATAAATTAATATCACGATAAATTAATAAAATATCATGATCCCAACATTATTAATTTATACAGGTTTTACTGTATTTGGGTTTCGCTTCACCATCCGATCCACAGTAGAAACGAGAACTTGGGAGTGGCATGAGTAAACCAAACAGCCTTAGACCACTCGTAACTCACTTGTTCCTCTCTAATGAGATTCTAAGTGTGGTTCGATTTGAACTCCTTTGTGAATTTATCAGGCCTTTGTTTCTTTTGTGCTATATCATCCTTGTATGTTTTCATTGGTCTGACTTTTTAGGATCTCATACTCAACTCTGTTTAACAATAGAATACGATGACTTTGTCTATACAGCCTCTTCCACCGTTGCATTGATACTATTCCCCAAGTCTAGCTACGGTCACCAAGAATTTCCCAAAGTCTACCCAATCGATCAAATATAGTATTAAATATTTGATAGAAATATGAGATATATTATACTTTGAAATTGTTGGATCAATTTTTATAAGCCATTTGAGCTACATTGTTTTTTTTTTGTAAAAAAAAATTGAACGAGTGTGAATAAGAAATGAATCTTTGAACTCATAAACCACAAGGATATTGGTTCAATGAGAAATGGAGCATAGTATTTTGGGTTTTTTTTTTTTCAACAATGTGGGCTTAAATTTGTTAATTAGATTTTATAGTTGATATTTGATAGTAAAGCATTATCAGTGTGATGCTGAAACTATATGATTTTATTATTATATACATTTTAAGTTATATGATTTTATTAATGGACACAATGATTAGTAGAACTGTGAGTAATAATATATATATATATATTAAACACATTAAATATATTTATTAATTTGCGGTATATTATATTTATAATGTAAAATTTTTGGATTTTTTATATTTTTATTATCATATAATTATAATAACATTTTTTCAAAATAAAATAGTAAATATTAATTTTTCAAATGTAAAATTTAAACTTCAGTAAAAACATATTTTTGATGTTCTTTTAATAAAATAAATTAATTATATAAAATTATTTTGAATTATTGAAATATTTTAAAGCATAATGTTTTGAAAAAGCATAGAGAAAAAAAGATAACATTTGCATCTTCTAAATGCTATATTAACTGATTTTTTAGGCAAAAAAAATCATGATCTATGAAAGACCGCGAAAATCTGATTGAAATCACGAATGAAAAATAACAATAATATAAACGACATGTTAAGGTAAGAGATTAAAACAGACGAAAAAAAACACGGAGTCGAGATATGATCTCTTTCCTTAACTCAATAAATCGCCGGTAATGTGTGACCGTATGATGCGACTTTTGAATCCCGAGATACAACCGTGATGAGACTATTATACAACACTCGTAATAGAATCTGCGAACTAAAATATTACGCTATAGCTCTCGAGACACTTACGATATTAAGACGAGAAAGATTTTGCTGGAAAGAATTATTTGCTGTGTGTTTGAGGTATTCGAGAATTCGATCATCTAGAATAAGAGAAGAGGACGTCTATTTATACTGGAAGGTTCAGCCTAATCCGCAAGGAATAAGGTTTGGCAAAAAGGAATATTCACGAGATATTTTCCTTTTTCCGCAAGTAAAAGGATTTGGAAATCTTCTGTTATTATCTGGACGCAATCTTTTATTTCCTAAGATTTATCCTTTCAATATGCAAAAAATATTTCGCAGGAACTAAGAAGTCCACGACCAGCTATATAGAGCCCTAAGAGCCCTAAGAGCCCTAAGAGTCCTAAGAGCCAACTAAAAAAATGCAACGAGCAACGAGCCCGGCACGGACACCGGCGACGGCGGTGGCGTGCGTAGGTGTTTTTGCATAATGCCCTTTTACTTCCACAATGCTGTTGACCTTTATTGTGAGAAGGCCACATATATACAAGAGATTTTTCTCTTTGGTGAGCAATGTGGGACAAATACACTTCCATTAAACTTTTACTTTTAGTTATAGCCAATAGGAATATTTCATTTCCATAGACTCAAACCCAAATCTCAAATGAATTTATAAGGCCTATTTGCTTATTAAACTTCATTTCTTATTCACATAAACTCAATATTACAAATCCAAATGTTTATTAATATTGGGTTCCAATAATTTATTGTGTTAATTTTTATATGAATAATTATATTTTCTTAATGTAAGGTGAAAAACATTACCGCTGTGAGATTTTGACCAAGGAAGCCATGAATGTTACCATCGAGCCGATGACATACTACACAGTACGCACACCAGTGGACACCTTCGAATTTCCTATTGTACCCCTGAACTATTTCCGATTTTACATTTTCATCCCCACATTTCCTCGGAAAATTCGCAGATCACTCTCTCTCTCACTCTACCAGCTGGAATCCAAGGCAGAAAATGAATACAAGCCTCTCTCTCCACTTCTCCCTCTCCCTGATTCCATTTCTCCATTATTAATTTGATTTTCTGCAATTTGTGTTCGGTTCTCTCACTATCGCGGGTTTTTGAGACATTTCGACTTCTTATATTAATTTATTTAATTTTTATCAGTTTAGTTCTCTTTCGTTTTCTGGTATTCTTCTTCTTCGGATGATATAGTTATCTGAAAAAGTTTTAAGATTTGCGATGAAATCTTCGACTCGGCTAGATTCAGTTGTTTTTCAGCTCACTCCCACTCGAACCAGGTAAAAAATAATCTTCTTTCCTTAATTGTTATTGATCCAAAATGGGTTAGTTAAGTTGTTAATCTGTGTGATAGAAACTGTAAAGCCGATAATATATGTGACATAATTGTTCTATAATAATGGAAAGATTGCTGCTTTTTTTCTTTTTGGTTTCTTGAGAAGATCATAAGTCGTTTAATGGCAATTGATCCCAAATAGGTTAGTTCAGTCGCTGACTTTTGTGAGATATTGCTCCACGAAAGTTGCATTTTTTTTGTGTTCCTTGATAATGTTGAATATATAGGTCTGCGTACCAAATTACTACGGGAAAGTTAAGTCCTCTTCTTGTGGGTTGTATTCAGGTGTGATCTGTTGGTAACAGCTAATGGAAAGACTGAGAAAATAGCTACAGGGTTGCTTGACCCTTTTCTTGCTCACTTGAAGACTGCACAAGATCAAGTAGCAAAAGGTGGCTACTCGATAATTCTTAAGCCTGAGGATAGTGACAATGCAGCTTGGTTCACTAAGGGAACAATTGAAAGGTGTATATCATATCAATTGTCTTTACATGGAACTTTTTGAGTTGGGATTGGACATTTGGATTGAAATTAAGGGTCTTTTCTTCTTTGTTATCTTTAGGTTTGTTCGATTTGTGAGCAATCCGGATGTCCTTGAACGTGTTTACACCTTAGAAACTGAGATCATACAGATGAAGGAAGCAATTGGTATTCAGAAGAACTGTGAAATGGCATTGACTGTTGTAAGTAAACTTGGATTTTTGAATAGTTTTTTTTGGTGTTTGGTCAATGTAATTTAACGTAAGATGTATAAACAGGTGGAAGAAGATCTACGAGGAAAAAGAGTAGAAAGTACTGAAGGTATTCTATAACTATTTTGTAGTTTATGTGTAGTCTTTATGCTAAAGCTTTAGAAGAGATATTTCACTGGAAAAATCATTGTCTCTCAGGATTTAACTGATAATGAACATGTTACACTATCTCAACTCATAAAATGGAAAATATTATACTACTTGGCTCTTGATCTTTCAGTTTAACCAGTATTTGAAAATGTGAATCAGGTAGCAGGCCTTTATTACAGCTCAACGAGGAGAAAGCTATTGTCCTTTACGAGGTTAATAAGAACCGAAATGGTTCCTCTAATTAAAAGGGTTTTCTTTTCATCCTTTTTCTATTGGAGAAACCAATTAATTTCATCTTCTTGCATCTTTGACAGCCTGATTCACATCCAAAGCAAGCAAATCGGTCTGCCGCATCAGATGAAAACTCTAAGTATAGCTCTTTGCATGAAAGATATTAATTTTCTGTGTATTTAAGAACGAGAGTAGATAAGTGTCTGATTGGTAATGTGGAATTGTCTATCAGAGTTCAAGTTCTGAAAGTTCTGGAGACAAGGAAGATAGTGTTGCAGAAAGAACAAGGAATGGCATTTGCTCGTGCTGTGGCAGCTGGTTTCGATGTTGATGATATGCTCCCTCTGATATCTTTCGGCAAATCTTTTGGAGCCTCACGTTTGATGTGAGAAGATTTCATCTTTCTCACCTGTTTCTGTCATTGTTTCGTAACCAACAAGCTCATATCCATTTAAGTGTTCAAATTTGAAAGAATCTTTGAGTTAACTTAGTTATCTCATGTTTTGCTTCTTCGATGTCATAGGGATGCCTGTTTAAAATACAAGGACTTGTGGAAGAAAAAGCACGAAACTGGCCAGTGGGTTGAAATTGAAGCAACAGAAGTAATGGCAACACAGCCAAACATCTCTGCAATGAACGATTCAGGGATTATGTTCGCAAATGCTGCTAATATGCGTAGGGACTCGTGGCCAGGGACACCTGAAAATAGTGGTAAGATGATCCATAAATGGATTATGTATGAGCCATATTAGCTTAAGCTTGAATATCTTGTCTTTGCATTGTTTGGCATTGCTTTTGCACAGCCGATATTTATTTCAGTATACTTCATGTATCCAGATGTGAAGTCTCCTACAGATAATAAACCAAATGTAAATCAAGAACATGTGCAAGGGCAGCATCCGCAGCCAAAGTATGCACCCTGGCCAGTCCACTCTCCGCCAGGTACCTTTCCTATATTTCAAGGATATACAATGCAGGGTATGCCGTACTACCCGAGCTATCCAGGAGCTAGTCCATATCCATCTCCCTATCCGTCTACCGATGATTCTAGACGTAGTTCTTGCCAAAGAAAGGCTAAGAAACATCATTCATCTTCTAGCGAGGACTCCGGATCAGAAGATCAGGAAAGAGAGAAAGGAAAATCAGGTAGAAGAAGAAAATCAGGGAAGGTGGTGATTCGGAATATAAATTACATTGATTCAAAGAAGCAAGATCATCCGGGAACAGAATCTGATGCTGATAACAATCATGAAGAAGGGGCAAGAGTAGAATGTTACAATGGTAAAGAGAGAGTAACAAAAGGGACAGAGGCTGACACTGGGGATTGGCAGGCCTTTCAAACTTTTTTATTGCAAGATGCTGATAGAGAAGAACGTACCATTGACCATATGATGGAAAAGGAGATTGCAGGGAAGAAGAGGCAAGGTACAGGGAAATATGATCCGTTGGCTTATGATGAACGTGGAGGAGAAAAATATCAAGAAAGGGATACATCTGACATTCGGAATGGAGCTGTGACTCGTAGAATCAGGGGATCTAGTGACTCTTTTATGGTTCACCAGAGAGAAAATGGTTTTGAAAATTCTTCTGATCCTCTCAACTTAAATGGATTTGATAATCCAAGGAATGGTCTGGATAAGAGGTCATCATTTAACATGGATGATGATTCTTATATTGTTACTCGGGGATCTGCAGTGCTAGATGAAGCTGGAAGAAATAAGCGAAATGCTATAGACATCGGATCAGAGATCTCTTCGTACCACCATCCGGATGGAAATGAAAGAAAGCAGGTCAATTATGAGCCTCATGATCTGAGCTTAATGCGAGAACGAGAAACAGAGAAGTTATCAGCTGGGTATGATCCTGCACTAGATTTTGGATCCAAAGCTTTGAAGAAGAATAACCAGGCAGCTGGAGTTGCTAAGAAGTCAGTGAGAGATCCAAAATCAAGACTATCTAATGGTGCTGCAGATAAGAGGAAGGCTTCGGGGCCAATACGGAAAGGAAGACCCTCAAAGATGAGCCCTTTAGATGAAGCAAGAGCACGTGCTGATAAGCTTAGAAATTTCAAAGCTGATCTCCTGATAATGAAAAAGGAAAAGGTATATTCTCGACTTAAAACAATTTGATGAGATCATTGCTTTTGTTTATTATTGATCATCTAGAAAGCACAATCTCGAAGGACATAAAGCAAATTCTAGTTGAAACTTTGCATCACACTCTCTTATGACCATCCTTTCTTTTTATAGGAAGAGGAAGAGAGGAAACGTATTGAGGCTCTGAAAATAGCAAGGCAAAAGCGAATTGCTTCTAAAAGCAACTCAGCCGTAGGCCAGTCACAGTTGCCAGCACAGCAAGCCAGGAAAAAAATCCTAAACAAGTTTTCTCCTGGCGCTCCTAGGGCCTCTAAGTTTAGTGACTCAGAACCAGGATCATTATCTCCTCTTCAACGTCTTCCCATAAGAAGTGCTTCTCTAGGGTCAAATGACTCTCAGAAATTCCCCAAGAATGGTAAACTGAGTACCGGAAGTAAGTCAACAGTCAATAGGCTGACAAGGTCGATATCACCGTTACCTCCATCTAAGAGAGAAAGCTTAGCAACAGGGAATAGGGTGACCAGGTCGATATCACCATTACCTCTGTCTAAGAGAGGAAGTCTAGATAGTCAGAACAAGCCTGTCTCAAGAACAAGACGATTATCAGAACCCAAAATGGGTAATCATGGTGCGCCAACTTCTTCAGTGAGGTCACTGCGCACAATAGCACCCAAAAAAGTATCTGATGCTCCTGAGATAAAGAAAATATCTGCCATTGTCAACTATGATATAGCGAAAATTGCATCTCTTCCAGAACTGAAGATAAAACCACCCAAAGGTCCTACTAATGTTCTGGTGAAAGGAGAGAATATTAAGGCTTCAGCCTCAGAGATTGAACCAAGTGATAACAAGAACAAATCCTTGTGCCAAAACGATGTTGATGAAACCCCAGTGATTGAAAAGACAGTGGTGATGGTGTTGCCAAATTCAGCTCGAAGTATTAGTATAGATCGGACGAAACACGAGATGTCCGAGGTAGTCCCTGGAAGCTCCACGACCCGTGACTCTATTTTTTCGGAAGGAGGTGATAAGGAAGTCAATGAAACAATGCTAGAGAGTGGCAATGATCTTGTCTTAGTAAGCACTCTTATTCTAGCTAGATCAGTTTTTATTTAATGTTTAGACGGTTCTGGTGACCGGAATGGTTAATTTGCTTTCAGGTTAGATTGGAGACTCTGAGTGACTTAGTAACAGAAACACCAAAGTTTCTGACAAGTCGAAGTGTTGTTGAGAAACCATATGAAGCTCCATATGCTCGGGTTTCTTCGTTAGAAGATCCATGTACAGTGTACTCAGAGCATTCCCAAGCACCTGCACCAAGCTTACATTCAAATGAGACAGAGCAAAAAGCTGTCAAAGTCCTTGTACCAGAGAAGAACATAAGTGAGGCCTCAGAGAAATGTCAAACAAAGGAGTCAGCGTCAAAAGGGCTCAGAAAACTGTTGAAATTTGGAAAAAAGAGTCAGTCTTCGTCTACAAGTGAATACCATACCGAGTCTAATAATGCACCTGGTAATGGCAATGAGGATCAAGATTCAGCTGTAACCGCTGCTGCGACAAGTGAAGGTACAAACTTCTTACATCCTTTTATCTTTCAGTAATTACTGCCGAAGCATATGTAAATCTTGTTTGCTTTCTTGTAGATATATTTACGATTTTGTCGCACTGAAGTATTTTTGCTCTAGAATTATACTTTCCCATGAGACCAAGAACCTTTGAATTTTACACCAATATATGGATCTACTGATGTTGAATTCATGGTGTGGTATAGTGAATATGATACTCATGACTTGTGTACCTTAAGAAGTAGTCGGTATAAAGCCTGGTTATATAACTCGGAGTTAAAGTTTCTGTTTTGCCATCCAGCTTTTACACTGAAGAATCTCATATCTCAAGATGAAACACCTACAGCAGCAGCCGCTTCACAGAAATGTAAGTAGATAACCTTATTTTGTCGTTAATAGAAACTATCCTTCCCCTACTATACTTTGATCAATAATCTACGCTGTGAGTGATCCATAGACCAATAAAGTTTGCTCATTTCTTCTGCGTTTCTTTTCAGCTTCTCGCCATTTTTCATTACTGTCTCCCTTCAAGAACAAGAAGACAGTATCTTGAGGACACTGAATGAATCAGAGGATCCTCTCCATCATAAAGCATTGAGATCTTGTAATGACTGAGTATTTATGATGAGTCCGATATTTTCTGCAACAATTTCCGAAAAGAAAAACTACCATTGATGCAAACATTTGGTTCCCAATGCAATGAAATGTGCCTTTTTGCACCATGAGATGAGATGGATGCCAAATAATAGATATTAGGGTTATAATCATATTAGCTCGAAGCCCCAAATAGAAATTTTTGATTTTTTTTTTCATTTTTCTTGTAATTCAGGTCATAAGTCATTTCTGCTTCATCTTCTTCCTGAGTTCTGCCTGAATTTATCATCGTGTTCATCTTCATAAGAAAAAAAAGATGAACAAGAAACCGTTAACATGGTGAGGTTGGTTAACGGTTTCTTGTTCATTTTTTTTCTTATATTTTTATCCAAAGCTTATGGAACCACTATACAATTTTCCATTTACTAACTTACACTAACAAAAAAAAACCAAAAAATTTAGACTTGATTATAGAAAAAGTGTCTAATCTAAAAATTAATCCTAAAGCCTAAGAAAGATTAAGTATTTTCTAAAATTAACTCAGCAAATCCAAAAAAAAAATATATTTAGATATATATATATATATATATCTATATTTTATTCATCTAAATTAAACCCTCTCCATGTGTCTTATAAATCAAGAACTTAACAGAATCGTCCAGAAAAAGACAACAAAAGATATTAAAAAGAAATCAGAAAGAAGAAAATTCACCGAATAAATCAAGAAAAGTAAGAAAAACGTGTAGATTCTGCGAATGGAGTATTCCATTCGATCTCTAGACCCTTCTTTTGTGTCGATGGAATATTCTGGTCTTGACACTATGGAGATTCCCTCTGCTTATTGCATTTAACTGTCATTGCTTCTATAAACTTTGCAAGACATTAAAACATGGCTCTTGAAACAATGGCACTGTCGTTATCTTGTGCCAAGTTTTCATCAGGTAAGTAAATATCAAATGGGTTCTTGAACAATCTCTTCTTTTTTTGTTTTTTTTTTTGTTTTCAAGTTTCTAATATCTTAAGATTGGTTCTAGGTGTTGAAGATGATGATAATAAGGAGGCATTTGTTTCCCCTAGATTTGTTGTGATTGGTCACAGAGGATTTGGGATGAATATGCTTCAATCTCCAGATGAGAAAATGAAAATGATCAAAGAAAATTCTATTCTTTCTTTCAATGTCGCTGCTGGTTTCCCCATTGACTTCATTGAGTTTGATGTCCAGGTTTGTTTTTTCCCTCAGAAGAATCTGTTCTTATTTTGTTTCTATTTAAGGAAGAATAGACAAATTTCCTGCAAAATAAATTCTCCAAATTTTGTTTTGCAAATTTACCTTTAACTTGCAAAAAATACACATCAAATCCACTTTAGATATAACCCGCCGTCACCAAAATCAAATCCGCTTAGATATAATCAAATCGAAGACTTAGCAAATGAGGAATCCAAATCTACTTTTAGAATTTAAAATATGTATGTGATAGTATAACTTTTTGAAAAAAAAAAACACGAGAGGATACTACTCCGGGTTAAATTCGACTTCATAGGTTTGACTTATATTTTGCGAATTGAATGTAAACTTGCAAAAAAAAAAAATGTCATTTGGAGGGGTTTTGTTTTTGCAGAAAACACAAATACAAAAAAAAACCACAAATCAAATCAATGATTTGGTCGAAATTATTTGTTTGCATTTGTTTTTTTGGTCATCGTTTGCATTTGCTTTTATATTCAATTATATGATGTCTTTTCCAAATGAAGCCATAGTGTTAAATAGAAAAGTTCTTTTGTAAATTGCAAACGTTAAAGCTAAACACAAACACCAAAAACAAACGGTAAAGGAAACCCCAGTCGCATTTAGTGAGATTTTGTTTAAAAATGTAAATTAGCCTAAATTAAGAATGTAACTATTTTTATAGGTGACAAGAGATGGTTGTCCTGTAATTTTCCATGATAACTTCATGTTCACACAAAAGCAGGTTAGTTTTTTTCTTTCTCGCTTTTTTCTTTTTACACAAATAATCTTGTTGCTGATAGATAAGTCTTAGTTTTTTTTCACTTTCCATTAGCAAAAATTTAGAAATCAGCAAAGTTGGTATCAATTTTTACAGGGAGTTATCATTGAGAAACGAGTAACGGAAATGACTTCACATGAATTTCTCTCATATGGCCCACAAAAGGATGGTTCAAATGTGAAGCCTATGTTTAGGAAGACAAAAGATGGTAGAATTTTCGAGTGGAAAGTCGAGAAGGATGATCATTTGTGTACCCTTAAAGATGCATTTGTAAAAGTTAAACGTTCACTAGGATTCAATATTGAGCTCAAATTAGACGACAATATTGTGTATGGAGAAGAAGAATTGCGTCAAAATATTGTCAACATCTTGAAGGTAAACAACATATTCTTCACCCATCTGTTCTTTGATCTTGTTATGCTGCTTCTTCAGTGTTGGGGTTGATCCGCTTTGGTCCAAAAGGCAAAACCTGCACCGATTTATTTTGGATTCCTTCCCAAAAAATCTCATATTAGTAAGAGTTGAACTTAACTTATATATTTGACTTATATATTAATTATGCAAACTTCAACGCGAGATTTGAATGGATATCCCAATAATCAATAATGTCAATTGTTTTAGCTTCCATTGATACATTTATGATTGAACAGGTCGTAGATGAGCATGCCAAGAACCGCCACATAATCTTCTCAAGCTTTCATCCTGATGCGGCTCGACTCATCAGGAATATGCAAAGGAGTTATCCTGTACGATTTGCTTCTTTGGTTTTTCTTTTCTCCATCATTAATTTCTCCATCATTAATTGATCAGGGTCAAGTAGTTTACTTGGTTATGTAGCTGAAAATGCTTATATGTGTTTTTAGGTATTTTTCTTGACAAATGGAGGAAGTGAAATCTATAAGGATGTGAGAAGGAACTCGCTAGACGAGGCCATCAAGATTTGCAAAGAAGGCGGTTTGCAAGGGATTGTATCTGAGGTTAAGGCCATATTAAGAAACCCAAATGCAATCACACGAATCAAAGAATCAAACCTTTCACTTCTATCCTATGGCCAGCTTAAGTAATGAACCAAAACATCCTTGTCTTTTCTCTTACGTTTCCTCTGTTTTTGGCTCTGAAACAACTTGTTGTGATATTTCAGCAATGTCGTGGAGGTGATTTACTTGCAATATCTGATGGGTGTGGAGGGAGTGATCGTTGATATGGTAAAGGAGATCTCCGAAGCCATCGCAAACATTGAGGTTAGAAACGAGGAAGATGAAGAAGAAGATGATAGAAGAGAGTGTCTGATTATATTTGGAGACGAGAGGAAAAAGGTGAGGATTTCTAAGGATGAGATCGCTTTCTTAACAAAATTCGTACCAAAAAAACTTCAACAGTGATGTTGCTTCGTTTACAGTGTAAATTACTTGTACATAGACTACTTAATTAGGCGGTTATAAATTAAAATAAAAACTGGGGCATAGTTTTTGTATGTAAACGAAAAATATTAACGACAAGAATAAATCTTGTTGATAGTCTGATACATTCGAAATATCAAAAACCAATTTAACATATTTTCAAAAAAAAAAAATCAAAAACCATTTAGGGAAAATCGCATATCATCCACATTAACACAGTTCGTAATAGAAATTTTCATAGGGAGAAATTTAGATGATTGGAAACAATATTATGATGGAATAATTGTTTGACCAAATAGTTTCTGGATAGGTCTGTATGTAAATTGTCACGTTATTGTTAATACAACAAGAATATTGTCACAAATTTTGGTCGCAATATCAACAATTTTTTGAAGTATGACATGGCGCATTTTATTTAATTCGTCAAGGCTAGATATTTCCTTGGCACTTGGGAAATCTCTCCTTTATTTCTCGAATTTTGAACCTCGATCCACCATTTTAGATAGGCGACTAGCTTTAATTGCAATAGCATTGGCAAGATGCCGTGATTAGTGTCATCACCCAAATTACATAGCAAAATAGATTTGACAATACCTTCACAGAGAGAAGGTGAGTGGAAAGTCGACCTAACAACAGTTCCTTGCAGACTCATGAAATTGTTGCAACTTAGTCAAGTCATGTTCATCTTTGGCTGATATTCTAAGCGTTCTCCACATTTCAAGATGAGCTCTCTGCCAATTCTAGACACATTGTTGATGCTGTAGATTTAGATTATGAGAACAGGAAGAGTAAAGATGAGAGATATTCACATAATTGAAGAGGGACTCGAAAATGTTAAGGATCATGTAGGCACTTTGTTATCTACTCATTTGGAACCATAATGAATAAGCCATAGGTATTCACAAGAAAGGAGTGAGTAACTCGCCCTAGGCTTAATAACCGGAACCGAAGAACCGAACCAGAACCGACCCGAAATAACCGGTTCGATTCGGCTTCAGATTTGAGTTTAATACCTATTGGATCTTGGTTTGAAGATCCATGGATATCGGGTCAGTTCCGGTTTTTACCCGAGAACCGAAGATCCGAACCGAATACCCGAAGCTTATTTTAGTTGGGCTTTGATCGATTTAGTTATGTGGGCTTACCATATGCAAAAAAAAAATTGTGTGTTACCAACAAATTGGGCTTAGGCAAATACTAACCCAGTAACCAAAATGGAAAAAAAAAAAAACAATAAAACCTTAAAAAAAATTGTACGACCAAAAGGAGAAAGAACCCCGATTCTAAAACCGACCTAATCTCTTTCTTTTCTCGTTAAACCCTTTTAATCACCAAACTGGAATCTGCAAACCCTAACAGCCGTCGCGTGTCGCCGGCTCCACCTTCCTTTGCATCGATAAACCAGCCGAAGGTAAGCATCTTCTCCTTCTCTTATTCTTTCTCTGCCTCAGCAAAATCAATTTTAGGGTTTTAAAAAAAAAAATGAAATCGGTTTGGGGATTAGGGTTTTCGTTTGAATCATGATGAAATGAGTTCATTTCATCATCTTTTTTTATGTTTCCACTATGAAATTGTCAACATATACTTGAAAACCGAATTTAGGGTTTTTAAAAAAATGAAATCGATTTGGGGATTTGGGTTTTTGGTTGCGAAAATATGAAATTGAGTTCGTTTAATCATCTATTTGGACGTCTATACTACGAATTTCTCATCACTCTTCTCGAAATCGGATTTAGGGTTTTTTAAAAAAATGAAATCGATTTGGGGATTAGGGTTTTTGGTTGCGAAAATATCAAATTGAGTTCATGTAATCATCTATTTGGACGTTTATACTACGAATTTGTCATCACTCTCTTGGAAATCGGATTTAGGGTTTTTTAAAAAAAAATGAAATCGATTTAGGGATTTAAGGTTTTCGGTGCAAAAATATGAATTGATTTGGGGATTAGTCTTTTCTTTACCTTTATTTAACAAATAGAGTTCATTTGCCTTTGTTTTTTTTTTTGAGTTTGTGTTAAAATTTCTTCTTAAATGAAATAGTCATTAGCCTTTCTGCATTGTTATTTCGTGAATGTTCTGGTTAGCTTAGGTGAATGTTATCGTGAATCTTTGGCTTTGTGAATTGTTATTTCGTGAATGTTCAAGTAGAATCTGCTTAGCTTAGGTGAATGTAATCGTGAATGGTAGTTATGTTTTATTAGTTTCATTAGGTGAATGTCGGATATGTAAAGTTGCATATGAGTTATGATTTGCTTGTGTTGGTAGTGTAATATTGTTAAGTAAGAATAAGGAAACCTTATTCTTCGAATCACTTAAAACACTGCAGATGGATTCAAATCCAGAAGACCCGAACATGAATGAAGATCCAGATATTGATATGGATGATGAGTTAGAGGTGACAGAGGATGAAGCTGAGACTCCTACGCCTACTTCTGCAAGTAAAGGTAAAGGGAAAAAGAAGGCTACTGCTAAGGGAAAGAAAAGAACAAGATCATTTGTTTGGGACCACTACACAAGAACGAAGGCAAACTATGACAAGTGTAATTGTCATTACTGTGGAAAGTCAATGGCATGTGCATCATCATCCGGCACCTCCAATCTGAGGTTAGATTTTATGTCATAATATTCTTTGTATACATAATCTGTTGATTTTATGTCATACTCTTAATATTGATTTAGGTCCTCAAGAGTTTTATATTGCAGAATACTCGATGACAAATTGTTTTCTTTGACTTTGTTTGTGATTTTGTTGTGTCTCAGGTTGAGAGCTATTGTCGGCACATAATTACAAAGGTTGGGTTATGGTGGGCACAACAAAACAATAGACAATGTCACATGTCTTTGTCTTTTTTTTTATGCTTATCGTTTGTTTATTTTTATTTCATACCACAAGTTTGTTATCATAAGTTTGAGACCACAAAATGAAAAGAATAATTCACACCACATGTAAAATATCACTCGTCTATATATTTGGAGTAATGACCTAGTGTTTTATCATATCTTCATCCTCAATGTTCTCTTCTCTCATTTTATTCTCCTTCTGCATTGATTAAAAACAAGCTCCTTTTTTGATATCAAAACACACCTTCTATTCTCCCATTTTATCCGATCTATTCATTGATTAAAAACAAGCTCCTTCTTTGATATCAAAACACACCTTCTATTCTCCTTCTTCTATACAATACCAAACCAACTACCAAAAAATTAATGGCTTCTTCTTCCAACAATGATTTTGGTAGATCATTTGATGAAGCACTTGATAAAAGGTTTGATGAAATCTTTGATCAAACTTTTGAGAATCTGTGCAATGCTTATGGAGAGAATCAAGAGACAACCAAAACCAGAAAAAACGGGCTTTTATCGAAAGAGATCGCGAAGAAGGCCATAATCGGTTATGGAACGATTATTTCAGAGATGATGCAACATATCCTGCTCATATCTTCCGGCGACTTTTTAGGAGGAACAAACATGTGTTCTTGTGTATTGTTGAAAAAATTTCCACTGAAGTTCGATACTTGAGACAAAAGAAAGATGCTCTCGGAAGGCCTGGTCTGTCTGTACTTCAGAAGTGTACAGCTGCCATTCGTCTCTTGGCATATGGTACTGCGGCTGATGCGGTTGACGAATACCTCCGTCTAGGTGAAACTACAGCTTGTGCATGTTTGGAACATTTTGTAGAAGGAATAGTTGATTTTTTGGGTGATGAGTATTTAAGAAAACCAACCCCAGAGAATCTTCAACACTTGCTTGATACTGGAGAGCAACGAGGATTTCCCGGAATGATAGGAAGCATTGACTGCATTTATTGGGAGTGGAAGAATTGTCCAACCGCTTGGAAAAGACAATATTCACGTGGTTCAGGAAAACCCCACTATTGTTTTAGAGGCGGTAGCTTCATATGATCTGTAGATATGGCACGCGTTTTTCAGACCTCTAGGTACTTTAAATGATATTAATGTTCTTGATCGATCACCCATTTTTGATGATATAATACAAGGTCATGCTCCGCGAGTAAATTTCTCTGTCAACAGAAGGGAGTACAACTTAACATACTATCTCACAGATGGTATGTATCCAAAATGGGCAACTTTTGTCCGATCTATTCAACTTCCACAGGGAGCAAAAACATGTTTATTTGCTGAACGTCAAGATGCTACCCGAAAAGATATCGAACGGGCGTTTGGAGTCTTGTAAGCTCGATTTGCCGTTGTTAAAAATCCAGCTCTCTTTTGGGATAAAGAAAAAGTGGGAAAGATTATAAGAGCTTGTATCATACTCCATAATATGATAGTAAAAGATGAAAGAGATGGATATGCACACTTTGACATTTCAGGTTTCCAAAATGGAGAAGAAAGCGAGAGTTCAAATGTGGATCTCACGTACGAAACATCTATGCCTTCAAACATAACCAATATGATGGGTGTTCGAAAAAAAATCCGAGATACGCAACATCATCAACAATTGAAGGATGATTTGGTGGAATATATCTGGCAAAAGTTCGGACATAATCAAATCGACAATTGAGTTTGTTTTGCTAAAATTGATTAATAAATTCAAGGTTTGCTAAATTTATGTATGTTTGTGTTGTTTTGTGTTATGAATGAAATAAATAATAAATTTTCATTATTTTTTTTTAAAGAAATCATATTATATTTTATGTTTAAGAAACTCAAACATTTTCCACCAATGGGCCCATAAAAAACATGGGTTTCTTACAGTTGTTTCTAAACTCAAATTAATGCATAAAATAATACTAAGAAACACTAATTGTTTCTTAGCGATAATGCTGCTCTTATGTACTGTACTTGTTTTGATTTATTAATTGTTCCATTAAACTCATACGCGTTAGCGTATTCACTTTTCCAACTTCTACGCGTTTCATTTCCATAAATTTAATTAGTTTATGAAACAAGACGAATCAATCAATATTCCATCATTAATTCGTTAATGGAAAAGAGAATATCTGAAAATAGCATAGTAAATGGTGTTACTTTTCACACAAGAAAACATCATTTCAAGTAGCGATAGATAATAAAGAATAACGAATGTGTCTGATAGTCTTATCGATCAATATTCCATGGTTAATTTTTAAAAAGGTTAGAAATAATAATGATAAATTTCCCTACACTT